GTAATTTTATGCGCCAAGAGTGTTTGGATTCCAGATTTGTATTTGACAGACCTCTTCCTGTGTCTCGTCTTGTATCTCTAATTGGAAGCAGTATCCTTTTTTTGTAGCATTTATGGTTGTGAACTTTAGATAGAGTTTTGATACTTAAGCATTATGTTAATTATTGGGCATATAATACATAGCGTAGGTAAGATTTTGAAAACTTTAAGGTTAGTTACTTTTCAATAACAGAATGTTTAAAATTTAGAAGGAGAATTGTGGGACGTTTTGCCATGGAAAAATGTGTTCTAAATAAGGAATTGGGGGGTGCCTGGGTGGCTCAGTTGGTTGGGCAACTGCCTTCGGCTCGGGTCATGATCCCAGAGTCCTGGGATCGAGTCCTCCTTCGGGCTCCTGGCTCAGCGGGGAGCCTGTTTCTCCCTCTGACCCTCTCCCATCTCCTGCTGTTTCTCACTCTCTCTCTCTCTCTCAGATAAATAAATAAATACATAAAATCTCTAAATAAGGAATTGGGTTGCTCTTTCATCAGCCCTTTTCCAGACCCAGATAAGCCCAATTTGAGGAAAACCATTCGAGTCTCATTTTTAGAGAAGATTTTTAAAGTTTTTTATTGGTGGTTCTAGATGTCCTTCAAAATTATTGACCCCTTATAGCCAAAACAGATGAGGTTCTCTACATGAGAAGAGATCATTTTGCTAGCGCTTATTCTTGAGTTTGGTGGATAGTCCTAACATTTTTTAACACTAGGCCAAAGAAATATTTCTCTTTTATTTTTTTCTTGCTGTGGTGGATTATGCAGCAACTAAAAAATACAGAGCTCTTTGTCAATAGTGCTTAATTTGAAAATAAAGGTAGTACTTTATTCCTTATTAGAACAGTTTCTTTAACTAGTTTAAGAGACCCAGATACCAACACAACGATATGGCCGGAGACCATATGGTGTTGGGCTGCTTATTGCTGGTTATGATGTAAGTTCATAGAATTGTTATATTTTAATGATTTTTTAAAAACTGACTAGAAATTATATAGTGTATATATATTCTGTTTGTAGGATATGGGCCCTCACATTTTCCAAACCTGTCCATCTGCCAACTATTTTGACTGTAGAGCCATGTCCATTGGAGCC